TTACATAAGCAACATAGGAAAAGCAACTAGTGGTTACATCAATGAAACTCAAAACAATCTGAGTCCTGATTGTTTTTTAAATGTAGTCCATAACATTTGGAAAGTAGGCTAGGTGTTTTTAAAAATATATATAATTGAATGCAGGAAGAAAAATAAAGATCAAACAATGAGTAAAAGGAAAAAAAAGAGGTTACAAACAATTACATTGTCTGGGTGGAAAGAAAACTGATAGTAGATAAGTATAAAATCTCAGCCATTTCTAAGGTTTTACATTTTTATTGATTTTTAAACATTCAATTATAATAATTTGAGAAGAATATATTATCATAGGAGTTCAAAAAGAAATACTGCATTACTAAAGAAGCATTAAGGAACATTAACTAAATCAAGATGAAGTAGAAATCATGTGGATTATTCATTTTACTGGGATACTTAACAGCTACTCAGTAGTTTAAGAGTTGTTACAGAGGTCATAAATCCCTGGAGATTGAGGAGAGTTACTGGATTATCTGTCTATTAGTCAAAAGGGGAAAGGAAGCCTTCATAATTAAGTAGTTGTCTCCTGAACTTCAATACCCAGAAAGATGAGTACAAACCATCAAGCAATCAATTTACAATAACAGAGAACTGAGAACAAAGAGGGACTGACAAGTCTTTCAGAGAACAGTTTTGTTTCATGATGAAGAGACAGAAAGGTTTTAAGAGTGTCTTTAAGAGATGGAGATGACATGGATTCCAGTAATACATTTTCATCTTAAATCAAAAACTGTTTGAACTGTTGACCTCAATATTGCAATAGAGTATATGATATGCATACAGTCTTTAAAATAATTTGAATTAAAATATATTTTGTTTCATGAATTAAATATTCCTTATCTATGAGACATATCTGAGATATTTTTATCTATAATCACAAAGGAATTTCACTTCTTTCCATGAGAACAAAGGTAATTTCATCCAATTTTATAGGGTTGTCACAATATTGAAACAATCTGTATGGTTATTCTATTATTCAAGACACCATGTCTGTGCACATAAATAATCTTATCAATCAAGTCCTACAAAAAGGCCGTCAGGAGAAGAAATCTTGCCAACATAATCACTTTGCTCCTATAATGAATAATAGACTCAGTATTGGCCACCAATTTATCTTATTGCTGCGTTTGGCATAATTCCTCTGGAGTAAACTTGATGAATATGAAAAAAATAAAAAGATAAATATCTCTATTATCCCCAAATATGACATACGGTCATTTGATATTCATTTTTTCAAAATTTGGTGGCATTATTTAAGTAACTGTAGGTTTCTGAAATGAGCATCATATATGATGACCTTAGTGCTTTCACACACCGATCACTGTTAGACTTCATTATTTTTTCTCAAGAAAAATGTAGTTAATAATTTAAAATTGTAACATTCACCAGGATTGTACTTTATATTGAATCTTTCTTAGCTAAATTCAATAGTCCAGTATTGAACCATATCCAGTAATGTTTTGGCAACACTATATCAAAAAATTACTATAAGAATTGGTTGGAATTAAATGTGAAAATAGCACTTTTTTTTTTTCAAAAAGAAGAAAATAATGCTCCATAATATTAATATCACTATAACATGGTTTCATTCAACATAAATAACTACAGAGAAAATAAAAATATAAAACCTCCCCCAGTACTTTGTAAGTATATTTGCAGTTTTTACGTAACTGTCCAGAAATATTCTATGCAGAACCAATATCAATGTTTTTTATTTATTCAAATCTGCTGATAAAATATATAATATTCTATTTTAACTATTTTTATTTGAAATTATTCCACATTAGCAAATATAAACATGCATCATTTTTTACTGCCACATAATATTCCATGGAGAATATATCACACTAAATAAATCAGATATGATGGATATTTAGATTTTATTATTAATTTTGTATTGGAAAAAAACCTGTTCTAAATTTATATCAAGAATTGACTGAGTCATGAAAGAATTAAAAATTCAATTATATTTTACAAAAGTCAAAGAACACATGAGCATTTTCTCAAGATCAAATAGAAAAGAGATATCACCCAATCAACTTACTTTGGAGCATTAGGGAGTCAAGTTTTGGGGGTAACTAAATGAGATAATGTTTGTGAAATATTATCTAACTACTAGGGATCCAGTCCACGAATCTGTGCACCTTGAAAGGAACTGTGGGCTGCAAAGCTGTGGTGGGCACAGAGGTGGTGTTGGCCCATCCTCCGTGCCCCCACCCAGCCCCTCTTGCCGCAACCCCCCTCCCCCTTCCCGTATCTGCCAGCAGCCCCGCTACCAACGCTGCTGCTCCCACGCACTGACTGCGCTGGCCCTGCTCGCATCTGCTGCTGCTGTGGAGCGATTGGGGCTGGCGTCAACAGCGGGTGCAAGCGGGGCGGCGCTGGCAGCGGGTGCAAGCAGCGGCTGCTGCCCCAATCGCTCCTCAGGAGCAGGGGGAGGTGGAGAAGCCCTCAGGGACGATCAGGGCCAGCAGCCGCCACTAGCACCCATTGACAGCGCCAAGCAATTGGGGCCAGTGCCGGGTGCCAGCAGCTGGTGTGAGCAGCGGCTCTGGCGCCAGCAGTGGCTGTGAGTGGGGCCGGCACCAGCAGCAGATATGAGTGCCGAGCAGGACCACAGCGCACGGGAGCAAAGAATTTTTAGTAACCTCCAGAGGCTCGCCCCAGGATAGCGACTGGTGCCCCACCTTGGTCTGGTGCCCTTGCTCACCTGCTCCACCATCCCGCCGTGGCCAATGCCCGCCATGTTCTGCGCGCACCCCCTGGTGGTCAGCGCACATCATAGTGACTGGTTGTTTGGTTGTTCAATCGTTCGGTTGTTCCACCATTTGGTCTATTTGCATATTAGGGTTTTATATATATATAGATTAGAAAACAATCAGGGCTGAAAAAAATGTTCATTTTGGAAGTAGCCCAGAGATGGTGGTCAGGGGCCAGTGTGTGAGGCCAACCAAGGGTGGTGGAAGTAGTTTGAGGACCCATGAGATAGGGATGAAAGAGAAGAATTATGCTCAGGACAGAGAAATGTCAGTTACCAGGAGGAGGTAGAAAGGCTGTTTGAGAAAAGATTCAGGCAAAGTGAGAGCTGCTCCCAGAAGAGTGGAGTCACACAGCGCACTCAGGAGTGGCTAACAAACCGAAGGCCGGGCGGTCTAGGAAAGGGGACGCATGAGCTGGAAGCAAATGAGAACAATGGCAATCACTCTCTATCAGAAATGTGGGCACTTGCTTTGGAGAATTCTTACTATAGATGAGCTATCTTTATTCATAAACTGTGAATGAGGTCTTAAAATATATAATACAAAATAAAATATATTCTTTGGGTTGAAAATACTATCCTTCTAAAAAGTTTTCTCAATCATTGACATCTCCCACAATATGTCCTATTAACACTAAGACCAAATAGTCAGAGAGGAATGGGGCAAATTGAAACAAAGGTTCCTGCAGCTCTAGAATCCAATGATTTTATACTATAATATAATTAATTTATATCAAATCTATATTATATACTAAATCATTAATTAATCACCATGAGATTCTCAGTAGCACCTGTAGAAAAATTGTTAATACACAAAAAAGTTCAATTCCAGTTTGAACAGTATGAAAAGAGAAAGTATAAGTCAGAATTTAATCACTAGATCTAAGTGGCAGAAATTTTATTGGCATCATAATACTACAGGCAAAATACTATGCATGATGACTGCTCTCAGTAAAGGCAAGGAAGGTATATTTACAAAATATGGTCCAACATTCAAAGAGCAAAATGAAAAAAAAAAGAGCACTGGCCATGTCGACCAAATATTTTATTTTAAATTATTCTTTAAATTATTGAATTAAGAAATAATTATTTAAAGTTAATTATAGTTCCTTTCTTCAACAACTTTTCTATGAAATCTAAGAAGTTCTATGAGGTATTCAGATATAAATTGCAAATTAATTATTTAAAATCAGAAATGGTTATGATCACCCAGAAATATGTAAACAGCTTTTATTATATAAATTTATATTAAAATAAATTACAGTCTATGTTTATCATAGCAATTTTACTTGTTATATGACCTTTCCAATGAACTCATCACTCTTGTGGCAACTAAACCACCTATCTTTACCTGGAGTAGGCATCTTTGTAAATCAGAAAGCTTAACGCCCTACCTTTCTTTTTGCACATTGCTAAAAATAAAACACACAAAAATATCCAAACCCAAACACAATATAAGCTGACATTCTGTAATAATCACCAGCATTGGAAAATCAAAGGACTAATTTCCAGCCAATTATGTTAACCATGGTTATATATTATAGAGAGAGAAATTTAAACTTTGTCAAGCTCAGGGGATTGCTTGAAAGTACAATCAGTTATAGGAACCAAAAGAAAATAAACTGTCAAAGAAATTCTAGACAGTGAGGAAAAAAGGTAAAAGTTCAATTTCACTCCCAAGTTTGAGGAACAATTGACAACATACAAATAAACAATGTTTCAAACAGACATACATAAAAGCACCCCTACTCTTATCTAGTCTCTCTCTCTCTCTCTCTCAAAGAGGTACTTATAGGGTAAACATATAACTAATGCTGATTCACAAATCCATATATCAATGAATCTTTGCATAGATATTCACATTTCACTGAATTTCCTCATTTTCTAATATTCATAAAGTTAAACTTAAAAAAATAAAATATTTTATAAACAACAATATTTAGACAGAAGGCAAGTGATACTTGATTGAAAAAGTAGAATTTTGGGGTAAGTCATAGATAAGTAGAAAATAAGAGAGAACACCACAGAATGTTATGAAAATGTCAAAAGGATCATATGTATTTTTAACAAACTAAAGAGAATGAATTACTGTATACTCTAACCCATGTGGCAAAGTTAAACTGGAATAATCCACTGAAGATCTGGAAAAAGAACGCTAGGATGAAAGTAGCCATTATGTTTTCACAGACCACTGCCCATAAAATACCTTTTTACTATGTCTTCTCCATTCCAGCATGGCAGTCCATCAGCAGCGGCTAAGTCATTAACACAAAGCTGGTCAGCCAGACCCCCATAAAATGACCCATGCAGTCGAAGGCTGTTGATAAATTCTCTGAATGGAAAAAAACACACAAAGAAAACTATTAAAACCAAAAATCCATAACAAATGCCAATATAAATGGCCTAATTTGATAAATAAAAGGTCTAGAATGCAACCTTTTTGTTTTCTCTACCTATTTTCATATATTTTCAATACTTTTCTAACAATCAAGATTAATACCACATTTATTTTAAAAAACATGTATAGAAATTATTTGTTTTGAATAAAAGTTTCCACTGGCTATGAATCTTATTATTATAACTACAGGTCCAAGTAGTGAATACTGTGCCCGCGCGCGCGCACATACACACACACACACACACACACACACAGACACACACACTTCACTTAGTTTCCCTAGAAGCTCTCACTAGCTGTTGGCTTGGAAACCACAGTGATAACTAATTACTTCCTTTTCCATATAGAAATGTCAGAGTCTTATAACATGCCAATCGTTTGCTTACTGATTAAAAGTTTAGTAGTAGACTTATGATTTTCCCATCTGGATCTTCTCTTTGGTGTCTAAGAACATAAAGTGATGTGTTTTTACTGAATATGAAAAAACAAGATATGCAACATATTTCAGAGGCTTGAAAATAAAAGTTATTGGAAGGAAAACTACTTTAATATGTTAACTAACTTTTCCCCTTTCACTATACTCCCTTCCTCCATCAAGTGGAGAAAGGAATAATTCAGCACAAAAGCAGTTTGTTTGGGTTTTCAATTTAGAAAGCCAAGAATTTTGAGTTTTAAAACCAAGTCTTTCAGGTTCCAAGAACTTGGTTTTAACATTTCAAAAGACCAAATCCTGAAGACTTTAGTTTGAATGTTTTTTACATAAACAAATGCTTTGGAAAAAATGAAAAGCTACTAGCTTGATACATAGGAGATAATTTCTGGGCTAGAAGGAAGGGGTAGGAAAATGAATGGTTTGAATGAAAGCAAACTTCAGAAATTCATGGCTTGAGTAGTTAAAATGTAGCAATTATGAAACTGCATCTCCCACTGAAAAAAATTTTTAAATTTCTTTAAAAATCGGATCCAAAACAAGGGGTGAATCTGTAGTATAGCTGAAATAACTATTTTTTAATAAAAACGATTTTGACTGACATGCTCAAAGTATTAATTTCATAATTCTTTCTTACGGTTTTCATAGAACTATTTTGTTTTTTTAAAACTGATGGAATTGTAAATAACCATTCATCTGGAATGATCATTGTAATTCTCAAATATGCAACATCTGATATCCTAGAGACGATAAGAAGTCCCCACAGCAAGTGTTTGGTGAGTATTTAATCAATTTTTACCAAGGCTTGGCCAGACAAGTAATAACAAAATCATCACAGGAAGCATAAATCTGATTCAACTCTAACTTACACTCAATAAAAAATGCTTTATTTTCCTTCTAGCATAGTAACTACTTATTTATATTTTGTCAGTTTTCTCTACTAGAAAATAAAAGCCCTCCTTAATGTCTATATCCTCACTAACTCGAGTGCATGAACAAATACCAATTCTCATGTTGCAGCTACTAAAATATAATTGAGGGTGACTGGTTCTTTCCTAGAGACGTGGAGTTTAATGAATGTTTAAGAAGTGCCCTGAACCTACTTTGAGTCGACGAATTTTCTAGAAATGAAGACTTCTGGTACAAACGGCTGAAATGCTAAGACCTCAAAATTGATGGTGTAAAACTGAATAGATATTTTTTATGGAACCCCAACCTCCTCCTCCAATCTTGGTGAATGTCGCCCTGGTTTCATTTATCCCTTCACAACCAATAGACCACAATGGGGAAAGCTTTGCTTCTGTCTTTTGCAGTCCCCCTTTCCCAGGGCTACTGCAGGTGCCTCGGTCCAAGCTCTTATCTGCTCTCTCTGGGATTACATACCTTCAATCTCCTTCCTTAACAACCACCTCCCATCCACCATGAAAGCTACCTTCTAAAATTCAAATCTGATATTCCACAGATTGTCACTCACTCACCTAAAATTAGCAATGGTTCTTCACTCTCTACAGCATGAAATCCAAATTTCCTGGAAAGGTATCTAAGGTACCCACTCACCTCAATTTCAGCAGCTCCCCAAACCATACTTTAGGGTTCCACAAAAATGAGATACTTGCTATTCCCCAAACATACCCCCATGCCTTTGCATGCATTCTTGCCAAAAGGACTGTATCCTAGAAGATTTCCATTCATTCTATAAACCATTAGCCATCAGTTATTTGTCAAAGAATAGGACACACTATTGAGTACTGAGCTCTGCACTGGCACCAGGAATCCACAGCTACCAGACAGTTCCTGCCTTCAAAAAATGCACTTTCTGAGGAAAATCCACAGTAATAATACGAGATTAACAGGGCCACCTTTGAGTACAGAGAAGGAATCAGGAAATATTTACAAAACAAGGTAACACTTTAGTGTTCCATGCAAAAAAACAAACAAGCATCCTGGCCCATGTGGCTCAGTTGGTTGAAGCATTGTCCTGTGCACAGAAGGGTCTCGGGTTCAATTCCTGCTCAGGGCTCATAGCCAGGTTGCAGGTTTGATCCCTGATTGGGGAGCATATGGGAGGCAGCTGATTGATGTTTCCCTCTCACATTGTTCTCTCTCTCTCTCTCTCTCTCTCTCTCTCTCTCTCTCTCTCTCTCTCTCTCCTTCCCTCCCTCCCTCCCTCCCTCCCTCCCTCCCTCCTTCTTTCTTCCTCCCTCTCTTTGAAATCAATGAAAACATATCCTCAGGTGAGAAGGTGGCCATCTGCAAGGCAAGGAGGAAGCCTCGGGATAAATCAAACCTGCCAACAACTTGATCTTGGACTTCTAGAATCAAATAACTGTGAGAAAATTAATTTTTGTTAATTAATTGTTTAAGCCACCCAGTCTGTAGCATTTTGTTATGGCAGCCCAAGCAAACTAATATAATAGTTAAAGCACTTGGGGGAGGGTAATAAACTTCATATTTGCAGTATGATGAGCATTACATAGGGGGAGAGAACCTGGAAGTGGAGAGTCCCAAAGGAAAGTTAGGGGAGTTTCGTGTGTGTGTGTGTGTGTGTGTGTGTGTGTGTGTGTGTGGTTGCGTGCGTGTGCGTGTGCGTGCATGCATGCACACACACACACACACACACACGGTGCTTGTATGAATAAGGAAGAGCTTTGAAAATATTTGTATGTGAAAAGGAAGGAGAACACAAGGGTATGCTGTTATTAGCTTGTTCCCAAACATCCCAAATGTCTACCTTCTGAGCACAAAGCGCCTTTGAGGTCCTTTGGTTTTGTGACTTGCTCTGCATTCTGGTAAACGCATGCAGAAGTGAAGTATGTTCCTTCCAGCCTTCAGCTTTAAGGACCAATGTGGCTTTGCCACCTTCTGTTTTCCTCTCCTGTGACAACAGGGAGTATTTTACATGCTGGTTGCTCTGTAATTCTGAGGCTTAAAGCCAGGACAACTTGAACAGCCGGGACTGGTCTAAAATGGGCATAGATTGCCAACAAAAAATTCCTTTTTTTGTCCTAAATCAATGATAGATTTGGGTTGTTTACTACTGCATCATAATTTAGTCTCTTAATTGAAGCAAAGATAAGAAAAGTAAATTAAGAATTAATGAACCACAAATTCTGGAAAGAAGGATTACTGAAAGCAGATAGGGTAGTGAGCTTTGGAGCAAATTCTCTGAGACTAAAATAATGGAAGGAAGTCTATGTGAATGTTGGGATAAGGTTTGGTTTGCGCGGACAGAAATTTCAGGAGAGAACCTACTTTGGAACTCTATATTCCATGTCTGGCAGTTTTTAGATCACAGGAATTAAAAGTCAGATTGCAAAAAGAAGTTGCATGAAGGTCAAGGGGGTCTACGCTGGATACAGAAAATAATAATAATTGCAGAAAATAAAGGAGTTAAAACAATAGTAGCCATAGTGAGGTCAAGATTTATCTACCCCCACAGAGCCAATTAATGCTGTTCCTATTACAAGAATCCACAGTTCAGTTTCCAGCTCAATACTTGGTGTAAGACACACCATACCTCCTTTTCCAGTTTTACATGAAATGCCTCAATGAATAAAACATTATATTCTTTGGAATAGTCAGAATTTAGGTTGCTGGGAAGGTGACTATATCATTACAATTATTTTTCTATGGCCATGAGAATATTTCCAGTTAAAATTAACAGCATAACAAATTCAGGGAGATGCTAGAAGTTCCAGCTAATTATCCTTGAGGGACTGTGTTACATATGCCAGTTGCTCATCTTGGTCTTAAAACATCTCTAGAATACAGAAATCATATATAATTACTACGAGAAAGTTTTAAAATATTTAAAAAAAAAACAGGAAAAGATTCCTGGTCAGAATACTTATTCACAGCCAATATGTCAGGGCTATATACAGTTTCATAATTTTTGATTTGTGCTTGCAACAGTCTAACAAATGATTTCCCTCCTTTGGTTTTGCCCACTCATTTAGCCTTCACTGCACACCCCATACTGTTGTAAGAATTAGTTTTGGGAATCAGCCATATCACTTTCCTACTTTCAAATCCTAAGAATTCAAGTCAAATGTCTTACCATGGTATATAACCTCTATACTCTTTGCCCCTAGCATCCTATGACAGTCCCCTACCCTCCACTCACACACCCAGCCAAAAACCACATACTTACATTGCATAAGATATTTCAACATTAACCAGATAATATTCCAAGTTAGCACATACCATTTCCTCTACCCAGAACTGCCTTCTCCTCCTGCTCCACTCTCCCAACCCCTACCCATCAGTCGTGATCCAGTTGAAACCTCATTTCCTCTCTGACCCCTGCCCACAGCCTGTGCGGCTTTTGTTGGTTCACCCTGTTTCTCACAGCACTTAGCGCCTGTTCAACCCTAACTTGGTAGTATTGTAACTCCTCTGTTTGTATATATGCCCCCCTGATTATAATTCCTCTGTTTGTATATCTGTGTTCCCTAAAGGCAAACATCATGTCTTCTTCATGTTAAAAAAAAAAGTGCTTTTATTT